GGTGATGTGATGGAGTTCGGTTCGACTCTGGAGGTGAGAGGACTGAAGGAGAGGACCCAGTCGCTGTCCAACGTAGACATCCTGATCTCCCCCTGTGATCCAGACCTCAGACCGGCCCACAGTAGTCCTGCTCCACCTCAGGCCGACCTGATGGAGGCTGACCTGGAGAAGCCAGCTGAGAAGACTCGAGTGGAGGCGGCGGTGTCCTTCCCTCTGGAGAGGTCAAAGGTCATGCAGTATTTATCCTCTCCAACCCTCAGCGGCTCACCCTCCTCCAACAGGAAGTCCATCAGCAGTATCCTCTACAGCCCCACCCATCAGGCCCAGGAGGGGGGCACCATTTCAACCCCCCCCAAATCCCCCAGAGTGACAGTGGAGAGGAGCGGACCCAAAACCAAACAGGAGGCTGACGAATCCAGGTTGTCCGACGGGGGGCAGAGGGGTGAGACGGTGGATGGTAACTATGGTGACAGAGGCAGCGAGGAGCTGTCGGAGCAGCTGCTGGTGGGGGAGGACAGAATGTACCCGACCCTGCGCTCCAAGAGTCTCAACACCAACCCAAGGAAGACAAGAGCGAAGAAGAGGGAGAACGAGGAGAAACCCCGCTCAGCCGGCAGTGTCAGAGACCTGGTATCAGCTTTCAGCGGGGCGGCGGGGGGGCCACGGTCCAGGACCAGGTCCAGAGACTCCGACTGCTGATCCTGAAGGAGAGAGCTGAACTCTGTGGACTGTGTTTCAATTCAGAGCAGCAGGAAGTTTAATGTTAAGGAGTCTGCAGTGGAGACGAACCAACCAATCAGAGCTTCACGAGGTTCAGCTCACAAAGACCTCCAGGAGGGTCAGAAACAAAACCACCGGCCCCGAGTCCAGACCTCCCTCTGCACAGCAACACACCCAGGAACCGGATCAGAGGCCGGATCCACCTCAGCTGGCTCTCCTCTGATTTAAATCAAACGTCCTGTGAGTTCTGTCTGAACGAATGAATCTTTTCAAAACCTGAGACTCTGCAGAAACCAGATCAACAGATCTGATCAGGATCAATTTGTTTTCCTGTGATATAATTTGATGTATTTATTGTTTGCTGTAAAATGTAGGTCTGAGGGCAATGTGTTATTTATTATCTGTGATTAACAGTGATCAGGTTCAGTCACTGAACAGCATGTTGGACATCATGTGACACAGAGACAGAACAGCTGATAGACGTTCAGCTCAGCTGTGACAACAAAGATCATTTATCTATATCATAGTTATTTTATATGATTCATATCTTTGTTTTCAGCCCTATGTTGATTAAAGCTCCGATCACGACCTGAACCTGGACCTGGACCTGATTAAACCTGAACCTGGACCTGGACCTGATTAAACCTGAACCTGGAACAAATACCTGATTAAACCTGAACCTGGAACAAATACCTCATTAAACCTGAACCTGGACCTGGACCTGATTAAACCTGAACCTGGAACAAAGACCTGATTAAACCTGAACCTGGAACAAAGACCTGATTAAACCTGAACCTGAACCTGGACCTGATTAAACCTGAACCTGGAACAAAGACCTGATTAAACCTGAACCTGGAACAAAGACCTGATTAAACCTGAACCTGGACCTGATTAAACCTGAACCTGGAACAAAGACCTGATTAAACCTGAACCTGAACCTGGACCTGATTAAACCTGAACCTGGAACAAAGACCTGATTAAACCTGAACCTGGACCTGATTAAACCTGAACCTGGAACAAAGACCTGATTAAACCTGAACCTGAACCTGGACCTGATTAAACCTGAACCTGGAACAAAGACCTGATTAAACCTGAACCTGAACCTGGACCTGATTAAACCTGAACCTGGAACAAAGACCTGATTAAACCTGAACCTGGACCTGGTTAAACCTGAACCTGGAACAAAGACCTGATTAAACCTGAACCTGAACCTGAACCTGATTAAACCTGAACCTGGAACAAAGAACTGATTAAACCTGAACCTGAACCTGGACCTGATTAAACCTGAACCTGGAACAAAGACCTGATTAAACCTGAACCTGGACCTGATTAAACCTGAACCTGGAACAAAGACCTGATTAAACCTGAACCTGAACCTGGACCTGATTAAACCTGAACCTGGAACAAAGAACTGATTAAACCTGAACCTGAACCTGGACCTGATTAAACCTGAACCTGGAACAAAGACCTGATTAAACCTGAACCTGGACCTGATTAAACCTGAACCTGGAACAAAGAACTGATTAAACCTGAACCTGAACCTGGACCTGATTAAACCTGAACCTGGAACAAAGACCTGATTAAACCTGAACCTGGACCTGATTAAACCTGAACCTGGAACAAAGACCTGATTAAACCTGAACCTGAACCTGAACCTGATTAAACCTGAACCTGGAACAAAGAACTGATTAAACCTGAACCTGAACCTGGACCTGATTAAACCTGAACCTGGAACAAAGACCTGATTAAACCTGAACCTGGACCTGATTAAACCTGAACCTGGAACAAAGAACTGATTAAACCTGAACCTGAACCTGGACCTGATTAAACCTGAACCTGGAACAAAGACCTGATTAAACCTGAACCTGGACCTGATTAAACCTGAACCTGGAACAAAGAACTGATTAAACCTGAACCTGAACCTGGACCTGATTAAACCTGAACCTGGAACAAAGACCTGATTAAACCTGAACCTGGACCTGATTAAACCTGAACCTGGAACAAAGAACTGATTAAACCTGAACCTGAACCTGGACCTGATTAAACCTGAACCTGGAACAAAGACCTGATTAAACCTGAACCTGAAACAAAGACCTGATTAAACCTGAACCTGGAACAAAGACCTGATTAAACCTGAACCTGAACCAAAGACCTGATTAAACCTGAACCTGGAACAAAGAACTGATTAAACCTGAACCTGAACCTGGACCTGATTAAACCTGAACCTGGAACAAAGAACTGATTAAACCTGAACCTGGAACAAAGACCTGATTAAACCTGAACCTGGACCTGGACCTGATTAAACCTGAACCTGGACCTAGACCTGATTAAACCTGAACCTGGAACAAAGACCTGATTAAACCTGAACCTGGACCTGGACCTGATTAAACCTGAACCTGGAACAAAGAACTGATTAAACCTGAACCTGAACCAAAGACCTGATTAAACCTGAACCTGGAACAAAGACCTGATTAAACCTGAACCTGGAACAAAGACCTGATTAAACCTGAACCTGAACCTAAGACCTGATTAAACCTGAGCCTGAATCACAGATCTGTGCTCATCGATTCACTTCAGTTTTTCTCTTCCAACCAGTTGTATGAACAAACTCTGATACAGACTGAGATCCTCCATGTGTAAAACCTGAACCCTGACCGGGACTAAAGGGAATGAAATCTACCTCTGTAATGTCTGTCTACTCTGTTTATATCTACATCTGTTGTGTCTGTCTACTATGTCTATATCTACATCTGTCTGACCCTGAAAGTAAAAGACTGAAGCATCAAATCTGTTTGTGACTCTGATTCATCCACCGATCAGAGACTACACATCCTCACTTCCTGTCAGGAGGCGGGGCAGTGCTTCCTACTGGGGGGCGGACTCAGGAGGTGGAGCAATACTTCCTATCAGACCTTGTCCAGGACCTGACGCCTGTACTACGAAGCAGGAACTTCAGGAGTAACTCTGGGTTTTCAGTCCTACGACGGTGGTTCACTTGTTACTGGGGTAAATCACCATGGTAACTTATACTGAACTCCTGACCTCCCACGGTGCAGGTTAACTTACAGGATCAGATCAAAACCGGCCAACAGCCCAACTACTGACCAATGAAAACATCATTGCTACAGGATCCTGACAGGGACAAAAGAGTTTACAATAAAGTGATCAATAATAATGAGCAGTAGATATAAAATATAAATCAGTCTTTCCATGTGTCCACTCCGGTTTTAAAAGAAAGCTTCTAAAAAAAAAAAGGGTTTATCACGCTAAATAAATACAGTATATATCTATCATAGCTTCATTTTAATTGAACAGATATTCTTTAATCCGACAGGATTCCTGACAGTGATGAAGCTTTTACTCTCCTCTTCATCACTGAGTTCAGAACATGAGCAGACTCTGACCACGACTGGAATAAAAACTAAACCTCTGATGTCTTTGATTAGAACAATTAGTCTCACACTGTTAATCATTTCCATGATTATAAATGAACATTTCAGACTAAGTCATCAGACATCAACTACTCCTCTCTTTAATTTCTCTCCTCTCTGCAGCAGAAAGTCGGACATTAATTATGTTTTCTCTGCATCACGTTCATAAGTTTGTTCATCGTCAGACAAAAGAGAAAAAATCCAACGTCCATCCAACGTGATGATAACATGCACTTATTTACAATATATCTTCTCTGACTTTAATAGAAATTATATTTAGACATGGAAATAATATTTTTTTATTCCAGTCATCTGATCATATTGTTTATATTTCACCTTGCTGAATATTACTTTTGGACGTTGCTATAACGGAACTTACTGGGAAGTATCAGCGTTTCTTCTCATATCATATTAAGAACTTCATTCATGGTTCTGATGACACTGCTTATAATTAACAACTCTGCCTCTTTCACATGAATCAGAGAAACCAGAGTTAACTGAGCCAGGTGATAACCAGCTTCGTAGTACCGGTTATCAGGGCGGTCAATGTTAGGTTCAGTTAAGCTGGATAACTTAAAGTTATCCCGGGTATGTTGAACTTTCTTCACAGTACATGCTGGACTCAGCAGATCTCAGTCTGTGGCATGAACAGACAACAACACACATCACTAATGTAAACACAAACAACAGCTGATCGTCTTTTATTATAAATGAAACACTGAAAACAGCAAATACAATTTATTTAAAATGTTTTAAATTAAAATAATAATTTGTAAAATTTAACCAAAGACTGAAAACTGCAGCTAATCAGTTTGTTCTGGCCATCACGCTGCGGTGCGTTTGAAGACTTCAGGACATCACAGTGTTAGCAGCAGTCAGCAGGGAGGAGAACAGCGAGTCTGGTCTTTGTTTCAACACGTCTGGATGATCGAACTCTATGACCTGCAGGACGATGACACACAGAAGTCACACAGAGGTCACACAGAGGTCATACAGGAAGCTGGAACATCACAGTCTGTTACAAATCCATGTTGACCCTGAACATCAGAGCAGGAGGATCAGGATCCAGAGTCAGACCTGGTTCCATTAATCTCCTGGTCCTGGTCTCAGGTCTGAATGACGACCAGAGTCAGTGCTACAGAGACCCGGTCTCACTGAACTGGACTTGCAGTTACCTGTCCGTGGTCGAGGACCAGGACCCGGTCCACCTGCAGGATTGTGTGGATGCGGTGAGCGATGGTCAGTGTGGTGCAGTGCTGGAAGGAGTCTCTGATGGTGATCTGGATCAGAGAGTCCGTCTCTGCATCAACAGACGCCGAGGCCTCGTCCAACAGGACAATCTGAGGGACAGACAGGTAAACAGACAGGTAAACAGACAGACAGGTAAACAGACAGGTAAACAGACAGACATGTAAACAGACCTTGGAGTTTCGGAGCAGAGCTCGGCTCAGACACATCAGCTGTCTCTGTCCCGCAGAGAACGTCCCTTCGTCCTGTGTCAGCTCGGCCTGAAGTTTCCCATCCAGACCTGAGACCTGATCACAGAGAGACAAACAGCTGATCAGTCGTCATAGACTCCTGAACCAGCTACAGGTGGGACAGGGACAGACAGACGTACTGTGTCCTTCATGTAGGTCTTCTCCAGAGCTGCCCACACCTCTTCATCACTGTGGACACTGAACGGGTCCAGGTTGTACCTGCAGACCAGCAAACACTCAAACACCTGTTTCTGACAACGTGATGACAATGAGGGTCCTAGGGCCAGGTGAGGTTACCTGACAGTCCCGGTGAACAGCACAGGGTCCTGGGGGATGATTGACAGTTTTCTGCGGAGGTCAGACAGACTGATGGACGTGATGTCCACTCCGTCGATCAGGATCCTTCCTGCAGCTGGTTCCACCAGTCGGAACAGAGCCGCCGCTAGAGACGACTTACCTGGACCACAAGGACCCGTTACGTCTGCAGCACCTCATCATCACAGCAGGAGGTCAACACCTGACTACACCTGATTACACCCAATTACACCTGATTACACAAGCTCTAACCAGCTTTACAGTTTCTTCTGGGACATGGGTCACATGCTCTTACCAGACCCGGTCTTTCCCACGATGCCCAGCTTCTCCCCGCCGCTGACGTGGAGCTGCAGCCCGTTGAGGACGACAGGTGAGTTTTGGCTGTACCTCATCTGATAGTCCTGGAAGGTGATGGCTCCACACTGAGGCCAGTCCTCTGAGACCTGGTCCACCTGGCCCACCGGCCCAGAGCCCTCTGACTCACAACCCTGAATCGCAACCAACACTGACTGTGACTAATGTGAAACCAGACCAGACCAGCAGGATCCAGCTCCCAGACAGTGATGACCCCTCCCCCCTCCTAACTGACCGTGATGTACTCGAGCAGCCGCTCCACAGAGATGAACCGGGCCTCCACCTCCATCAGGGACTGGATCATATACTGACAATTACTGGTCAGCTGGAACCACAATACACACACACACACACACACACACACACACACACACACACACAGTACTTTATATGGCTCACAGACCATTAGCTGTATCAGATTCAGTTCGTCTCTTTATATCTGAATATTGTTTATATCATATTCAATTTCCAGAGTGGGACGTCACATGTCAGAGGTCAAAGGCTGGTGCAGTTATGTACATGAATTACTTCATATCCACAGTCTGATGGACGACTGTCCTTTTTATTTCTTCCTCTAGAGAACTTTGAGTATGTTTCACCTGGATGACAGTTTTACCTGGACGATGAAGCACAGGGCGAGGGCTTTCATGGGGGGGCTGCGGATATCATTGGAGCTGAAGATGACAAGCAGAGCAACCGGCAGCGCCATGACAGCGCACAGAGAGTCGACTAGGAAACACAGCCAACGCATGGCGTAGTTAAAGAGCAGGAAGTGGTTGGCGTTGATGTCAGAGAGTCTCTGAAACCTGCAACACAAACAGGACCAAACCTGAACACACACACACACACACACACATTTGTATCTCTGGACTGTCAGTGAACACAATGTCTAACTGACAAAGACAATTAGCTCAGAAACATCTGGCTTCTGAGAAAATCATCTGGTGCAACTAAACTGAATCATTCAGGGAGGTGATGTAACCTGAGGCAGCAGTGAGCGGGGACAGTATGGGAGGGGACATTGTGGGCGTGGTCAGTGTGGGGGTGGTCAACGTGGGCATGGTCGGTTCACCACAGAAAAGTTTAGTCCACATTAACGTTGTTTTCAGGTTTCAGTAGAAACATGATTGTTTGGATAAAAAAATCTTAATGTAAAAAAGTGATCTTCGTCCACTAACTAGAAGGTCGGTGGTTCGATCCCCAGCTTCTCCAGGAAGTTGAAGTGTCCTTGGGGCCAGGCACTGAACCTGGTGCTCAGTATGAGTGTGTGTGGGCGATGTGGGATTCTCCATGTAAACACAGAACACAGCACTCTGACAGACAGGGGGCGCCACCATTAAACTGAGGATGTCTTGTTCAGCAGGAGATGAGAGTCTGAGTTTACTACTGAGGTCAGACAGATGTTAAAGCAGATGTCAGATATTCAGACAGATGTTAGATGTTCAGACAGATGTAGACAGACATTCACACAGATGCTGAAGCAGATGTTCTTACAGTTGTGTGTACTGCCATGTCTTGTTGTAGGCCTGGATGGTGCTGAGGCCCTGAGCGATGGAGGAGCACAGAGAGATGCAGGGAGAACGACTGATGTTCTCCATCTTCTTTAACTCACAGATGTTTCTCAGGAACATCCTGCAGATGATAAGACACATGTTCAGACAGATGTTCAGAGACATGTTCGGAGAGATGTTCAGACAGATGTTCAGACAGATGTTCAGACACATGTTCAGAGACATGTTCAGATAGATGTTCAGACAGATGATAAGACAGATGTTCAGACAGATGTTCAGAGACATGTTCGGAGACATGTTCAGACAGATGTTCAGACAGATGTTCAGACACATGTTCAGACAGATGTTCAGAGTCATGTTCAGACAAATGTTCAGACACATGTTCAGACAGATGTTCAGATAGATGTTCAGACAGATGTTCAGACAAATGTTCAGACAAATGTTCAGACAGATGTTCAGACACATGTTCAGACAGATGTTCAGAGTCATGTTCAGACAAATGTTCAGACACATGTTCAGACAGATGTTCAGAGTCATGTTCAGACAAATGTTCAGACACATGTTCAGACAGATGTTCAGAGTCATGTTCAGACAAATGTTCAGACACATGTTCAGACAGATGTTCAGAGTCATGTTCAGACAAATGTTCAGACACATGTTCAGACAGATGTTCAGAGTCATGTTCAGACAAATGTTCAGACACATGTTCAGACAGATGTTCAGATAGATGTTCAGACAGATGTTCAGACAAATGTCAGAGGTATGTTCAGAGTTATGTTCAGACAGATGTTCGGAGAGATGTTCAGACAGATGTTCAGACAAATGTCAGAGGTATGTTCAGAGTTATGTTCAGACAGATGTTCGGAGAGATGTTCAGACAGATGTTCAGACAGATGTTCAGACAGATGTTCAGACACATGTTCAGACGGATGTTCAGACACATGTTCAGACAGATGTTCAGACTGATGTTCAGACACATGTTCAGAGACATGTTCAGACTGATGTTCAGAGACATGTTCAGACACATGTTCAGACACATGTTCAGACAGATGTTCAGACACATGTTCAGAGACATGTTCAGACACATGCTCAGACAGATGTTCCGACAGATGTTCAGACACATGTTCAGACACATGTTCAGACAAATGTTCAGACACATGTTCAGAGACATGTTCAGACACATGTTCAGACAGATGTTCAGACAGATGTTCAGACACATGTTCAGACAAATGTTCAGACACATGTTCAGACACATGTTCAGAGACATGTTCAGACTGATGTTCAGAGACATGTTCAGACACATGTTCAGACACATGTTCAGACAGATGCTGAGACACATGTTCAGACTGATGTTCAGACACATGTTCAGACACATGTTCAGACAGATGCTGAGACACATGTTCAGACTGATGTTCAGACGGATGTTCAGACACATGTTCAGACACATGTTCAGACAGATGCTGAGACACATGTTCAGACTGATGTTCAGAGACATGTTCAGACACATGTTCAGACACATGTTCAGACAGATGCTGAGACACATGTTCAGACTGATGTTCAGACGGATGTTCAGACACATGTTCAGACACATGTTCAGACACATGTTCAGACAGATGCTGAGACACATGTTCAGACTGATGTTCAGAGAGATGTTCAGACTGAACAAAGGTGAGTTTTCAGGTAAAACACCTGTAGGTGAGGTCAGCAGTGGTAGATTATATCAGCTCAACACCTGGAGCTCAGAGTTCTGGATCAGGACATCCAAGATCAGTTTGTTCCAGCTGTTATCTCATAACAATCAATATCGACCAATAATCAATATTTCAGCTCAGCTACAGTTGTCACATTAATTAGCTTCATTAATATTGGTGTGGATTTATCCAGTAGCTGCTAATTAAACTGATTTCAGCTGATCCCAGAACTGATCTTTACTGATATCTGTAGTTATTGACGAATGATGACTGGGGCTCAGGAGGTCTGGGTCTGCAGGCCTGATCCAGTGGAGGACTCACCTCAGGAGCAGAGCGAAGAGCGTGATGAGGAGGAGCAGCGGCAGCAGCACGATGGGGAAGATGACGGAGGTGACGACGCAGGCACAGACGGCGATCAGACAGAAGACAAGCAGAGCGTTCAGGTGGTGAGGGACTAAAGAATCCACCTCGTCCTGGTACCTGGAGAAACAGCTGAGGATGCGTCCCATCGGATTCCACTCAAAGAACCTCATCGGGCTGTCCAGGATCTGAGGGAGACGGCAACCAATTAGCTGATCACAACTACAGTCGCACAACAACAACACCTGGTACACAGACCAGAGGACAGTGTCTCAGTGGCCAGTCTCACCTTCCTCAGCAGGCAGTTGTGCAGCGTGGTGGCGGCGTGGGACGTGATCTTGATGAAGCAGAGACATTTGAGCGTGCAGACGCTCAGCAGGAGGACGATGATCAGAGCGAACATCAGCTGGTAGAAGAGAAGGTCGCCGTTCACTGAGACGTTGCCTTGCTCCGACGCTGTCACGTTGGCAGTCTGAGGAACGACACAACAACTTTACATCTTCACAATAAAACAGCCTCACAGACACCACACTCCCTGAAATGATCATTACTGCCATTATTGATTCATCTGATCAGCTTAACAAGTAATTGTTTGTTTACAAATTCTCAGATGAAAAATATCTGTTATTAAAGTTTCCTGAAGTTTCAATTCTTTCATTTTGAAACTGGATTTAGTTTGTTTGTGTGTGTGTGTGTGTGTGTGTGTGTCTGACCCCGTGACCCTGGGAGAGCCAGTAGCTGAGCCACCAGTAGCTCAAAGCTGCATTAGTGATGAGGACGATGAAGATGAGGAGGATGAAGAAGCTCACGCAGAATCCTGCAGGAAGTTAAAAATAAGTGTAATGCTTTTATTTTGAATTTGCTGGCTGACATCACTTCCTGTTTTCATTCGGCGTGTCAGTGTGTGTGTGCTGACCTCCTGCTGCCTTGTTGTACTGGTGGAACGTTCTCCATGTGACCAAACCTCGTGTGTTGTTCTCCTGATCGATCAGCTGATCAGCAGCTTCACAGAGAACACACATGTTATTGATCTCTTACGAGGGGGGGGGGGGGGGGGGTTTAGGTTTCAGGAGGATGAAGAAGCTCACGCAGAATCCTGCAGGAAGTTAAAAATAAGTGTAATGCTTTTATTTTGAATTTGCTGGCTGACATCACTTCCTGTTTTCATTCGGCGTGTCAGTGTGGTGTGTGCTGACCTCCTGCTGCCTTGTTGTACTGGTGGACGTTCTCCAATGTGACCAAACTCGTGTGTTGTTCCTCCTGATCGATCAGCTGATCAGCAGCTTCAACAGAGAACACACATGTTATTGATCTCTTACGAGGGGGGGGGGGGGGGTGGGGGGGAGGGGGGGGGGGGGGGGGGGGGGGGGTCGTGTAACAACTGTGGTCATCAGAGAAATGCTTACAGATGTCCTCGGCCAGTGAGTGGCAGACGTGAACTTACCTCTGCAGTCAGGTGAAGGTGCGTCTGTGTTTTCATCTGTCATGTCCAACGCTGTGAGGTCCAGAGAGAAGAATGCATCATCAACAGAAGGCGGAGCTAAACACCTGAGAGTAACCACCTACAACTGAAGACTACAGGTAAACAGCTAAGTCTCATCTCCAAGGAGAATCTGGATGTCGAATCAAAGGAGGACAGAAAGGAAGAGGAAGAATGAGAAGAAGAGGAAGAGGGAGAACAATAGGAAGAGAAGGAGGAAGAGGGAGAAGAAGAGGAGGAAGAGGGAGAAAAAGAGGAAGAAGAGGAGGAAGAGGAGGAGGAAGAGGGAGAGGAAGAAGGAGACGAAGAGCTGTCCCCATGTCTCATGTACCTGGATTGACGATGCCTCGGTCCATGTGACCGTTCAGCTCCACCTCCGTCTTTTTCTTGTCTTCTTCTTCTTCCTGAGGCTGGAAACAGGAAGCAGTACAAAGATTGAACAAACTAAATAAATACTGAGACCCTGAGAGCATCTGAGGAGCTGATCACCACACCCCCCTCTTCAGCTGGATCGTCACGGAAACAAACCACACCCCCCTCTTCAGCTGGATCACACCCTGTCAGAGAAGCTGAACAGAGACTGAACACATGGTCAGGTATGAAACCAAACCCTGAGCTGCAGCAGCTGTGACTGTCTGGATCTTACTGTGGTTTGCTCCTTCAGGTGTTTGGTGATGAGCTCAGCATAGTGTCCCTCCACCTTCATCAGGTCCAGGTGACTTCCTGTCTCCAGGACCGAGCCATCCTTCAGGACCAGGACCTCATCACAGAACTCCATGTACTGATGGACACAAAGAGACAGAGACAGAAGATCAGATTCATACTGAGTTAGGCTGAGACCATCGGGTGGACTGACAACTACAAACCACACTGTCTTGTCTCTTGAAGTCATTTTGTGTCTGTCAGTCTGGGGGTCTATGTGGGGGTGGGGTGGTAGCGCGGCTGGCGGGGGGGGGGGGGGGCTTTTACTGAGTCAATGAGCTTCAAAACAACAAAGGTTATGACCAGTGTTACTGTCTACAGCAAGAAACATATTCAACCCCTGTGTTGTCCTCGAGTCAACAGCAGAGAAAACTCCAATATCTGAATGATCTTTGTTCAACTTGAAAGTCGATTGCGTGTGTGTGTGTGTGTGTGTGTGAGCAACCCACTCACACAGTGTGAACCTACCTGCAGCTGGTGGGTGACCAGTATGATGGACTTCCCCTGCAGATCTTTCTTTATGCACTCCTCAAAGATGTGTTTCCCTGCATGGGCGTCCACAGCTGATAGCGGGTCGTCCAGCAGGTAGATGTCTTTGTTGGAGTAGACAGCTCTGGCCAGACTGATCCTTTGTTTCTGCCCCCCTGACAGGCTCACCCCCTGCTCTCCTAACTGAACACACAGAGTTACACACTGCATCTGTCAGGACCTTCACACCTCAGGCTGATTCTGCAGCAGCTGAGAGTCTGTAGACACAAAGACTAAACCTTGTCTGTTGTCAGATGTGAATATTTGCTGATGTTCTTGTCAGTCATGTTCATATGTAGTTTCAGCGGGATATTATTCTTACACCTAAATGATATCTTATTGCAGGTTTTTACAGGTGTGTCACCTGGACAGCCACTAACATGAAACAAACAGACAGTCAGGTATCAGGTTCAGTTTCTCACCACAGTCTGATCCCTGTGAGGCAGGATGCGGAGGTCGGCCTCCAGGTTACAGCTGCTCAGGACTCTGTTGTACCTGCAGAGCACCAACACACCGTCACTGCACATCCACTCCTCCTTTACATCAGGGGGACAGTTTATTTCTTACCTGGAGCGGTCCAAAGGTTCCCCCATCAGTATGTTGTCCTGGACAGTCCCATAGAAGACCCAGGCCTGCTGGGAAGTGTAGGCGATTGATCCGTCAACTGAGACTGATCCCTGATGCAGGTGCATCTGATACACAAGACAACATATAGTCTGTACCTGCTGAGATCCAGTGTGTGTTCACAGGTGAACATGATGTAGACTCAGGTAACTCACCTGTTCTAACAGACTGCAGATCAGCGACGTCTTCCCACTGCCAACATTCCCACACACACCCAGCAGTTTGCCCTGCACCAGAGATACACATCATCATTAACACAGAGTGCTGGTCCACACTGATCCTCAGGAGCATGATGTTAACCAGCTGCTAACATCTGTGTCCAGTGGAAACCCCTCATCTCTGGGTTACAGAGTATTTTCAGATGAAGGTTGACTGGTGGAGAGACCAGATCTCATCAGAGCGTCACATCTGGACTTTCCACATTCATTTGCAATACATCCTTTGTAACAGAATTATCAAAATCAGGGGTTTTCAAAGTGTGGGAAAGTGACCCCCCCTCAGAGAACATAAAGACAGCTGAGAGACCACTTCTCTGCAGAGCCATGTCATGGATGTCTCTTAACATTGTGTGTGACCTTCTGAGGCTGTATTCTAACGATCCACCGAACTGATCCAAACATCTGAAGCGCATCTTCAGCTGACTCTGCTTGTGCATAACAGGCAGAGAGTGTACGCTCTGTGCGCTCGCCAGTGCTGAAATACTGCGACACGGACTTCAGATCACAGTGCAAGAGTATTTTCTATTTGTGCTGGATGGGGAAAATGAAACTGTGTTGGTCTGAAACTAGTAAAGAAGGGTGTAAGACGGAGCCCTGCATCCCTGATACTGCAGGAGGTTGATGCGGGGACGCACTGTAGAAAGGAATAAACGTAGATCATACTACTCCTCTCACTGTAGGACCTGAAAATGATCCATGTTGCCACATGTGGAGATGAGTTTAGCTACCCAGATGTTTACAGTCTTCTGGTCTAGTTTACTAGTCTACTTTTCTCATGCTGTGCCTCCTCTGAAGGTCAATGGCGCCCCCCAGGGGAGGCCCACCTCACACTTTGAAAACTGCTGATCTAAATGACAGTTCACGCATGCTTGATGTAAAATGCCACAATCATTATCAATATTGTTATGATAAACATTATTTTATGATCACAGTCAGGTGAATGGCAGCGACCGGAGACATGAAGCCTCCCGGCCAGAGTCCAGTGTTTGACTGGGGCCCAGAGAGGACAGACACTGCTCTGTAAACAGGACAGACCCACATCAGAATGAGCTGCACACGTCACTGTCCAATGATTCACATCATCCTCCGACTCCTGCAGCTGCAACAACTCGAGCAAGGTTTAACCCTTTCTGATCCACACTCATTCACAGCGTCGCTCAGAGTAAAGACACTGGTAACAACTACATAGTCAGCACTGTCACCTTGTTGAGGGTGAAGGAGACACTTCTCAGGGTGGGCATCACTTCAGTGTGTCTGCTTTTGTTATCCAGGTCGTCCCTGTCCTCTGTGTTGTGGGGGTGGAGTGGTTTAGTCCAGGATAGTGTGGCCTTGTCCATGATGATGGCTTCTGACCTGTGGTCTGTCTTCTGGATGACGTACGACTCCGGATTCTCTATCAGCAGTAACCTCTGCAGCCGCCCCACACACACACACACACACACACACACACACACACACACACACACACATAGACAGACAGAACCAAAATGTGAAGGTAGAAAGTCAAACTAAAACCTGACTGTGTGAAGTCCTTGGCACTAGATTTAATTGTAATGGAGAACCATCGGTCCGCACTGAACCCAGAATGACAGAATCAGCTGACACACGACTGAAGGAGGAGACGTTGGGGTTCGGTCAGGTGTCAGTTACCTTGAGACGAGTCACTGAAACAGCAGCTTCAGCCAGGAACTTGACCGCCGTGGGCGACATGGACAGAATGAACCTCATGCAGTTGAAAATGGTGACGACAGGAAAAGCCTGAAGAAGGAAGAGCTCCACGGTCAGTTCAATCCAGCAGCGCTCTCTCTGACCCTTCCCCTCCAAAAGCAACAGTCAGAGGCCCCACCTCTTCAGCGAGGAGACACAGGTGTGTACAGGTACACCAGCTGTTTGAACTCACTGTGCTGGTGCTGAGAGGCAAACCCAACCAGGTGTGAACGATGAAGGTGCAGGTGGCGGCGATGATGGGGACGAGGGGGCTGATGGTCACACTGAAGTTCTGGATGAGGGCAGCCTTTTCCAAAATCCTTCTCTCTGCTGTCCTGATTTCTGACACACACACACACACACACACATTTCACTATCCCTGTGGGGAACAGTCATTGCATTAAATACTAAAAGCCTGAACCTGATTCTAACCCTAAAACCAGGTCCTCAAACAGACGTCTAGACCCGTGGGGCCCTCAGTTTTTGGCCCCAGCATGTGTCTCTTCTTCATCTCAAAGTCAGTCACAACAATCATTCAGTTTTAAGAAACCTCTTGTCACCAAACACTCAGGCCGGAGAACAGTCAGGACAGTTTTCCTCACTTAATCAAATGTTTCCAGCCCAAAACCGTGTCCCTCAGAGTTCCTGTCCAGGACCAGGACTCCTGCTGTGATGAGTACCATACCTGTGATCTTCCTCTCGAATGACTCCTCCCACACGTACATCTTGATGAGTTTGATGCAGGTGAGGACCTCGCTCATGGTTCGGACTCTAGTGTCTGTGATGGCTGAAGCTCTCTGCTGGTACACGTTAATGAGCCTGGCAAACACTAACTGACACACACACACACACACACACACACACACACACACACACACACACACACACATCACTGTTGGAGACATGAAGATGTTCCTGCTGTCAGAACAGACGTCCATGAGCGTAACTTGCCCTGCAGCGTTGAGAAAACTCACATTCAGTGAGCGGCTCCATCAGGAATGGTGTGATATGACTTTACTCAGCTATGGCGATGTAACACAAAAAAACTCCCATAGAAAATGAATGGAGAGACGTCTCACGGGGGACGGGCTCGCTCTAACACTGATGAACTGATATTAACCAATAATAATGTCTAGTTCAACACCACATGATGATGTTCTGGTGATGAGCGCTCACTCTTGAGAATGAGACGATTTCATTATCAATTCATCTATAAAATGTTTTTATAACAATGTTTTAAGGGTAACCCTCACCCTGTCATAGTAACACCCGGTTCTTAGTCTTTATGCTAAGCTAAGCTAACCACATCCTGACTGTGATGTGTGTAAGCAGTGTGTCCAGAGACCTGCAGCAGGATGAAGATAAGGAAGATGAAGAAGCCGATGAGGGCGGTGTAGTCCAGGATGTAGCAGGAGTAGACGGAGCAGATGATGAGCAGCAGAGGGAACGGCAGAACCAGAGGACCCAACAGGACGGCCTCAAAGACCCGGTAACTGTCACTGGTGAGGACATGGACCATCTGACAGACAGACAGGCTGTTATTATACAGATGCTTTCAGCTGCATCAGCTGAGCTTCACTGTCCATTTAAAAACAGAACATTTAGGAAACATTTAGAAAATGTATTTAAGAACTGTCAGGAAAAACAAAAAACAGCTGGTAAATCACAAGAGGACAAAATGTCAAAATTATAATTTTACAATACAAGTTACAATATTTTGAAAGTAAAAGCTAAAATATTTTCCCAATAAAGTTGTCCTTCAGTTTGTGAAGTTGAATAAATTCAGACTCATTTATTTCTGTTGGTTGTTGCAAACCTGTCCCAAAGAGACTCCGGTGTGTGTCCTCAGAGAGATGATCTTGTTGAAGCCCAGCATACAGAAACCTGCCTTCAGCCTGATCCCTGTCCTCAGGTTCATGGCCCAGCTCAGACTGAGGCAGCCGACTCTGAAGAGCTCCACAAAGACCAGAACCAGACACAGAGCCACGCCCCTGAACACTGACCACATCTCTGGGTGGACCACGTAACTGAGGATCTCATGGACCAGGACGCCCTGACAAGAAACACAAAGAGGACACGGAGACATGATGTCACACTGTGACAAACACTGTGAAACACTGCGGTGGTTGTCATGGATACACTGTGATGCTGAAGAGACGCACTGAACCAACAAACAGGGCCAACATGAAGAGGACGGTGATGACGAGGACCAGAAGAAGTCGGTCTCCCTGGAAACGAAGCAACACTCGAGTCAGAGACGCTTTCTGTAGACCGACTGCACACACTTCCTGTTCCCAGAGCGTCTGAAGCCTGAACACACACACACACACACACACACACACACATTAACACACACTTCCTGCTTACACAAGCTCAGACCTGAACATACACAGTAAAATTATTATTATTATCATCATTTTTATTATTAGTGTCCCACCTGTCACCATTGACGTGGGCTCCGTCCAGAGGAGACAGACTGAGTGAGCTGAAGTCCAGCTGTTTCCTGGACATGGACCACATCACAGGAGTCATCCAGGACATGGTGCTGAAGGACAGGAAGCCTGCTCGGTCCAGAGGACTTGACCTGGATCCAAACAACCAGCAGTGTCAGTAAAGACCTCATCGCTGTGTCTCACCTGTCTACATGATCATCTGTCAAACCTCTGAGTCAATTAGGTTTGATCTGCTGATGAAGACAGTATGACATGGTAGAAAGCTGCACAGCTGCCCTTGAGTGGGCTGTGTTGATTGTGCTCCTTCTTTTAAAAGTCACTGTGCAGATAGGAAAGTATTAAGTGCTGTATCTGTCCCAGTCTGTCTCTGATGACTTACCTTGACCCTGCCGCTGTCTCTGATAGGCTTGAGGAATAGGTGGGAGGAGCTGTAGGTCTCCTCCAATCAGCTGCAGGGGCTGTTTTACTGTCCATCTTGCTGAGACAGAGACAGAAGTGAGACCAGTCAGACAGACACACCTGTTAATGTACCTGAGCTGCGATTGGCCAGTCACTGTGTGGGGGCGGAGCTTAGCTAACAGTCAGCTATGTGCATGTGTTCAGTCCTTCCTCAGCCGTACAGACCTCAGTGTTAAACACCACACAATCAGAAGCTACGTAAACAGGAAGCATCATGATTTGTAACAGAACTTACCAAAATAAAAGTTGTAGGATCTGAGAGATAGATGGACCTGGTGTTCAATCTGATCCTGAGTCAACAGTGACTCTGTCAGTTAGTCACAGTAAATATTGAGTGAGAACCAGTGAGACCTGTTTTAATCCAGACCCTAATGCGGAGGGGGGGGTCTGTAAAAACCAGATCCAGCACCTGAGACCTGAGCTGTCATGTTAGTCTGCTCAGAGTCAGAGGCTAGTTTCTGTTCCAATCCACAACCACCTGGTCACTGATCACAGGTGTAGTGTTAATAAAGAAATCTGTTTTTTGAATCTTGTCTTGAGTTTATGAGACTTTCTCAGTGAAACCTGTTTCCACTGTTAAATCTCCCCTGATGTTACTGAACTCACCACAGGAAACTTCACCAAGTACAAGTGCATCTGATGTTTGATATCAAAGTGTCAATCAGTGGAAATATTGAACAATTCAACAAAACATTTGATTTTCTCCACCTTTATATTCCTGAAACACTTTAACTTCTCCAGCACTGATCTCAGAACAGCCACTTCAGTAGTTAAACTCCAGCTTACTAACCAACTAACCAACTAATCAACTTACTAACATTAAGAACAAAAAGAGAGACATATTTAAACATACTGGGCTCCATTTGTACCAGAAATACAGCAAACAGCAACTACACTAATCTCCATCTACAATCACTTCTATAAATATTTACCATTAACTGACAATGGCTCTCTCCAGTGGCAGTGTTGTTAACCTTACACACACACACACACACACACACACACACACACACACACACCACACACACACACTCACACACACAAACACACCCACACCACACACACACACTCACACACCACACACACACCACACACAC